TGACCTGATTGATAGAAATGGATGTTATTTTTGGATTCAGTAGTGGATGTTTGTAATAAATCAACTGTCAAAAGATAAATTATTTTAAAAAAAAAGATTTTTTTGTAACTGTGTGTTATTTCTGAAGATGTTCAGGGGGCTACACAAAGTGATTCTGACTCTACCTTTCTGTAGGAGTCCTCTATGGTGGGATCATACTTCTCCACAAAAATTCCTTGCACAAATTGGACTGTCTGAAACGAGAAAACAAAAGAACCAGTCAGTGAATCAGAAAGTCAGCTTTGTGGAAAAACAATAGTAGCTAAAGTAATTTATGAAACAAATGAGTCAATTGTAACTTATGCCTATTATTCTTTAAACTAGAACCATTTATATTCTTAAGTTTTAATTTTAAATATTCTTCAGTTTTTGTGCAGAAGAAACTGAATATAAGAGACATTTTTTAGATTTAAAAAAAGATTTATTTCTGCTTTACAGATGAATTGGTTAAAATTTTCATGATTTTTAACATCATTACACATGTTTATAAAAGTTAGATTTGCAGTACTGATAATATTATACATTGTTAATAATAAACTGCTCAGATTTTAAAACCGTCCCCAAATCTTGTTTTAATCTAAATTCTGATCAAAATCTCACAAAACTGACACATGATCACATGATTGACAGCTTTATGAAGGAAGGAGTTTAGCAAAGCGTAGTGTTTACAGGTAAAATAAATAGTGAAATGCTTTGATTAATTTAAAATCATTCACTTTTTTTCACTCTTTCCTACCCACAGCCATMAGCATCTACAATAAGTTTTTAGTTAAATGAGTTACAACAACACCTAATTTCCCTCTGGGATCAATAAAGTATTTTTGAATTGAATTGAATTGAATTTTTCTCACCAGTGCAGATTTCCCCACACCTCCTGATCCAAGCACAACTAGCTTGTACTCACGCATGGTGGGTCACTTCACTGGACAGCACAATAATCTGTGGGAATATCAGAGTTACACAAAGGTTCAAATTGGTATTCTCTGTTACACAAAACAACTTAAAAAGATTTGTTGTGAAACAAAGTTATGTAAACACGTTTTAAATGATCTTATCACCAAAATAAAAATTATTTATAATCATTTAAAATTTGCACCTTTGAATAACCAGTGAAACAAGATTTTTAATTGTCAATTCACTGAGTTAATCTAGGTTCAAGGACAGTTTATTCAACTATAGAAAACTGGTGTTCATGTTAATATAACAGAACCTCATTCTGCTGCCAAAAAAATGAGCTCATTCCCCACCCACTCCCAAGGGATTTCAGCCATCGTGATATGGGTGTTGTTACTTTTATTTTTTATTTTCCCCCAACAGCAAAATCAAGAATATTTGTACATATTCTAGGATGGTGAACTGGAAACTCTGGAAACTGAATACAGCCCACACCACTAAGGAGGAAATATTAACTTGATACACTAAAGTGCAACAGTGCATAAGATCCTAAATGACTGTGATCTGGTAATCAGCACTAAAGTTATTTATCAAAAGACTKTCCGCACTGCAATTAACCTCCAGTTGTTCACACCTAAACCACATCTTATGACAGTGTGTACTTATGCACACAATGCTGCCATTGCAGAACCAACCGACAGCTGAGTCATTGAGTAAAGCAAGGCATTATTAGTGTTGCCTGTTATACATCTAAAAGCTGCCATAAATATATTATCAAACTATTTAATGGTACATTTGGTCTAACCATTGAAAACATGGGGTGAAATAAGAAATATGAAACATAAAAAATACATATAAAGCGTGCAGTGTTTTTTGAAATTACAATTTGTGGAGAAAAAAAATCACAATGTATATATAATACAGTATATCGAATCATGACCCTGTGTATGTATCGTATCACCAAATTCTTGCCAATACACAGCCCTATTGAACTTGAGGGTTTCTCTTAACTTGAGATGCTGTGCTCCTTGTTCTCTGATAAGGTCAGCATTAAGTTTTATCAGAGGACTTTACCATTCTGAGCCACACTCTATGAAACAGGATTACAGATCATTGGGCAAAGGTGGCATTTAACATACAGTTGAACAGCTACAGTACCTTATTGTAGAAACATGTAGAAAAAAAACTGCTTTTTTAAAGAACTGTCGACAAAAGCATTTAGAGCCAATTTTTAAAAAGTGGAATGAAAATATCTGAATCTTCACAGGAATTTCTATGCTGAAAAATTCAAAATGTAAATCAAYGTGGACAAAGAGGACCACAGTCCAATAAATATAATGCTTTTGTCAGCAAACCAGGGGGAGGAAAAATTTTCTACACGTAGACAGTAATGTGGGTGAAACATGGAAAAATTAAAAACATCAGAATATTGTTAAGAACAATTGTCAGAAATATGTAACTTTTTTGAAAATGTTTTGAGAATGGCACTTTTGTTCTTTATTCAACAAACACCTTTTCTTGAAATAACTTGTTTTTGCTCCATAACAGAAAGTGAAATACAGTTCAACATGTATTATAATTTTCTGCTTAATTAGTTTAATTCGTTCTCATTTTTAGCTAATCTTACACAGTTACTGGAACGTAGAAATATTTATKTTCCATAAGTGCTTTGTGCCATTTCAAAAGACAGATTCATTAGGATTTAAATGAGAAAATGTACAGAACCCTTTCCTTCACCAATCTGAGCTTGCAGTCGAAGCAGCAGCTCTATATTTCCTCCTGTAGCAACAAGTCCTGACCTGTGCTCCACGTCATCTAGCTTTAATTTAATCTCCACGTTTGTATCTACAACACAGCTGAACTACTAGTGGTAGCTCAGATGTGTTGGTAGTGAGACGTTTTCTGATGGTTTAGAACAGGAAGCAGGAGGAAACAAACAATTTAAATATCGTCTCACTGAAATCTCTCTGTAACTGTCAGAGAAATGTTGCAACACAAGCAGGAGTTACAGTCAGTTGAGTGGGGGGTACCAAATGTACGCTCTGAGACAGAAGTCTGTTCATTCTTTTAACGCCCATTTTACATTTCACACCACAGCTAGTTTGTTGAATTAGTAAACGATGTTGCTGTACACTTGTTGCATTTTTTTATTAAACTTTTGTGAAATTCTGTAAATTCTGCATGACACCTGTGATTGCTCTCTGAAATTCAAGCTCTGCTTCAGTGTTCCAGTTTCACAAATAACCATCTCATTATAATACAGGGGAAAGGGGCCACTGAGAATGACCCGTCATCATCTCCATCAGCCTGACACAGATTAGACAACATACATGGCCTAGAAAAACTTGACACTAAAGGGAACTGTTAAATGAATGTTTTTAGTAATGGCAAGAATTTATTTAATTAAAGAAAAAAAACTAATTTGAATAATTGTTTAATGCTTCTTCTGAATTCAACATGTAGCTTGGAATAAAGGCAACCTATCAGTTCATTAAACTCTTCATGGGTGTGGGTGTCATATGTGTCTTGTCAAGCCAGTTGAGAAAAAGCTGAAGTGGGATTTCCTGTCTACTTTAAGATATGCCTATGTGGGGGCGAGAAGAAAAAACTCAGAACTGTCAAAGCACCTTTAAGCTGTGGTATTATTAATGTCTTAGAAAAATACTAATTTCTTAATTCTCATTCCTGATGGTTTATACTCAACCTGGATCAAAACAGGTGACAATATCATTTTGTAAAACTAGTTATGAGATAATAAAGCAATCCGTCTGCAATTTTTACTTGAATTGCTAACTTTTTATTTACAAAACAAGGACAAACATCAATAAAAATCATTTGACCATCACGTGAAGCTCCATAAAGACATTACAGAAAAAAAAGCAAAGAAGTCTGATTGAGCCTTTCACCACACACAACCTATACATTTTTATATAGTAAGAAGTAAACCATTTAAATGTCTTCCATAAATGTTAAAAGGGCATTCCAGACTTAATGTAATTTTAATTTAATTCTTTAGTTTCATGTTGTACATGTATTTGACATTAGTGACATTTTTAATATAGACATCCCCCCTTAAAAAGGTTTAACTGCTTTTTTTAAATTACATTTTTAGCCTTTTACAATGGTTTTATTTCTGAACCAAAGCACAGCTTGTCCTTATACGATTACTTGATTATTTAATAGTTGAACAGCAATTCTGCTGCTAATATAATATCCATTTGATGTAGAAATGTCAATGTGTGGGAGAGGTGTACAGTAAAAGCTCATTCAGGAACCTCTTTGAATCTACTAATTATACTAGGTCTGTGAAACCTTTGTCAAATGATCAGACAATACAACCACTCTGTCACACTCGGCCTGCATTTGCAATTCTAACCACAACATATGAAGCACCACAGTGAGGGACAGGCACACAAGGCTCTCTACAAAGAGCCATTGTGATGACCCTCCTCTACTGAAGTACACCAGACACAGAAAATGGAGATCAGAGAGCACACGCATGACCACCGCACTGCAATTATGARTGGGACGAGAGGTGCATTTAGATGTGATGCTAACAGAGGCCTGATAAAATAAATCTACAGCGAAAAAGAAAAAGTATGATTTGAAAATGCGCGTTTATCTAGGCATCATAAAACTTGAATCAAAGCCTTTGCTCAAGCGACAGACACAAATCTTTTCCTGATTAGATATAAATAAGCCTGGACTTAAACTGTAGGCAACCCAATGCTTGAGCTGAAATCTTGCTCACATCTTTGATGAGGGGATCTCCTCATTTATGCCATCAGCTAAAGAATACTTCAAACACAGACTGTGATAAAGACGATAATTAATTATAAACTTCTTTTATTTAATCTTAAATTAACGTTTTTGTGGTAAAATAAAAACCAGAAATTTCATTAGTTCTATAAAAGGAGCTTCACCTACTATGTACACGACTGCTGCTGTTGGAAACTCCCTCTACATCAGGGAAGGGGAGCCTATAGATCCTCAGGTACACTGATGTCAGCCAGTCCAGGAGGTCCTGAGAGTCGCCAGCAAGTAAAATCAAACTTAACTGGTCCTAAATGTAAAAAMATAAATAAATAAAACAATTAAATCAGCACTCAATTTAAAGTCTAAATAAAATAAAACATCTTATTATTGAGATATTTGTATTTAGGCAACTTGTTTAGAAAGGCTGACACATATTTACATACCAGCTAAGAGTTCAGTCACAATTTAGAAAAAATTACAATAATTAGAAATATTTATTAGTTTTCTCTCTTGTATTGCTGCCACTTTTACAGATCTTTGACCTTTATATTATGCTGCAAACCTCAAATAATCGATTTTATAAAACCAGATTTTACTCAAATGAAAACTGCAGTGATGCTGTGGTGATTGTCATTACAGTTTAATATCAATAYTCTCAATAAATGCTTAAAATTCTATTATAAGCTCTGGTCAACACATCACGGTAAAAACGGGTTCAAACTAGGCAAACTGCTCTAAATATAATGATGGGAAAACATTGTTTCATTACTACTTCTTAATGCTAGGTTAAGAATGTTAGGCTAATCAAAATAAGCTAACAAAAACTAGCCAGTTTCTTAACATGTGTTGTCTTAGCTAACACAAGTAGTGTAAAAAGTACAAATCCGAACCACACCATCCCACAGGTCAGTTTGTTTTCAGTCCACTGAAGCTAAACAACATCTTTAAATTACCAGAGTATCAAATGTCAGCGACAGAGGGAGGAAATGAGTTTWAACTTGAACGAAACACACGTCTGCTTTACATTATTTATCGCGTTAAGCTAAACTTTTAAAAGTAAAACTTAATGCGACACGTAAGTTATAAAAGTCTGGTATGTTGATCTACTAAAATGAACAACTTTCTGACAACTTGTAGCGTAGTTGGTTTCGAAAGGAAGGAAGGGTGTGGCTATGAGTTTTCTCAACCAACACCGAGTCCAAAACACCGTTTAAAAAACACCAGCCGGCAAAATAAAAAGGTAGACACACAGTAAAGGTAATTTTACAATAACTTACAGAGCCTGATGACATAATAACTACAAGCAGCTTGATTGAAACTAAGTTTGACAACTCGTTTATTAGCATGTAGTTAGCACACTAACGCTAGGGTGGTAGCTTGGAAAAAATGGGGAGAAATAAACAGCAGACACGACGATTACTAACTTCAACTAGTCTGACAAAATACACACCAGCTCTTTATTTTACCTCAGTTGTTGAATTACTAAATTTACGCTTATATTGAGTGGACGAATGGTTCCCACAACTCTTGAGCAAACACGGGGTGCTAACAAGTTAGCTCAGCAGTTAGCATACGACTACTCTTAAAGGCATCGGTTTTCTGACGAATTTATAAAAGCTAAAACTCTCCCGAGAATTATAAAGACGCGTGAATAAACCACCAAATGCTTGAAGACAAAGACGATACAATCTAAAAACGCAAACTTTTCTTGTACCGACAGCTCAAAAAGTCATTATCTCAGGTTAGCTGCTCTATCAAGTCATCGAAGTTAGCCTGAGAGCTAAGCTATTTGCCCACAGCAACGTCTCTTCACTAAGAGGGTCAGAACTAAGCTGAGAGTAAAGGTTCAAAAACAGACCGAGGCTTAAACACTGAGTTATTAAACTAATAAAGCTATACGCTGGGCAATTAGCTCTCAAATCGTTAATTTTACTCAGATACGGGAGCTTCTTACCGTGTTCCGCTATGTGTGCATAAGAGACTGTGGATGTTCCGAGAGCTAGAGTGGCTGCTCATTGGACGAGAATCAGCCAATCAGAGCGCTCCAAGTTACGACATACTCCTGACTTCAAAAAGACCGCGTCATTCAGATCCTCACCAGAGTAAATCACACGAAGGAAAACGACATCAATGCCAAATCATAAACACATGGGATTACATAATTATAACTCAGACTAATCTAATCTAGTTATAACATAATCATCGTTATTATGTCAGAAAATTCCATTTATTTTGTTATGATAATATGATCAAGATTTTCACATTTAGTAACAACTTTAAAGTCTGCTTTAATGTATACACAATTTCATACCTTATTTATAAATTATCATTAATGCTTTGCAATGTATTCACAAACTCCAGAATAACCCATTTATAAGGCATTAATAAATCCTTTATAAAAGGGGCTCTTATTGTGAAGGGACCATTAGGTATAGATCAGTGGTTCCCAAACTTTTTGTCTTCTGACCCACAAAATATCCATGGCAAAAACTTGTGACCCCAAATATTATTGGTCTGAGTACACGAACTCCGTTTATAACCCTAAAAACACAGGCTTTTTGACAACCTAAACAGCTTGTACACACATATAAATACTTATTTTTACTTATTTTGTGTTTTTGTAATAATTATAGGAAAAATATTACTGCAGCAATTATTTTATTACCCTTTAAATTGATTTCTGGAGATTATCCAAGGTGCTTCATGACCCATAATTGGGTCCCAAGCCCATATTTGGGAACCAAAGTGCAGTGGTTCCCAAACTTTTCAGCTTTTGACCCACAAAATAACAGCAGCAGAGACCTGTGACCCCAGCTATGTTTGGATGATAAACATTTGTATCAGGGCAACTAAACATGGTAACAATATTTTTATACCACATTTAACCATTTTAAATATACTAACCTCACTCCTTTGTAACAACTAAGGCAAAAATGTAATTAATTCAGAAAATATTTTCAGGACCCCACCTTGAAGTTTTGGGACCCCACTTTGGGTCCCGACCCCAACGTTGGGAAACACTGCGATATGTTTTAGGTTCCATTTGAAGCAAATGCTACATGTGCTGCATATTGCAGTGATATAATCTAAATATGTGTAGTTTCTCATGTTGTATTTGAATTGATGAAACAGAAGGTGAACCTTTCAAAAAGTCTAGCTTATTCTTTTTTTTGTTTGTTTGTTTGTTTTGTTGAGTTTTGTGGAGTGAAAAAACAGCATTATTTTTTTACTGAAAGGAATGCACTACAATGTGTAAAAAATAATAAAAAAAATCGTAATAAAACAGCCATAACTCATAAAATAACTTGTGAAAAGTAAAACGATGATGTAAGATACATTTTAGTTCCTGCATGTGTTGCCAGGGGATTGCTGAGACTCACCTCCATCTTTAGTTGGGGAGACTGGGGACAGTTGCAACACGTTTTGCATTTGACTCTTTTACTCAGAAATGGTTTGGATTAGACAAATGTTTAAACAATAAACTTACATCTGTCTGTTCATAATCAGTACCATTCACAGATAATTAAAGCATGTACATTCTTCGCTGTTTGCATTTGAAAATGAAAAGTCAGATGTTGCAACTGACCCCAGGACTGGGGACAATTGCAACATTGTTTGGGGTTAGTTGCAACAGGTTATTAATTCAATGTATTTCACTGTAAATGAAAGTTGTATTATTTTTATATTTATATTATTGCTAAATTTATAAGAAGTGACGATGACAACAGTATAACAAAAACAAAGCTAAGCAAAAAATGTACTTTCATACCCCAAAAACATTTTTTTCCTTCTTTAAATCCTGAAGCAGATTTTGAATCTGCTCACCTTTCCTTTGCAAGGTGAGACATCTTACTGAGCATGCAGAGTGTCATCACTCTACCATGTTTCTTTTTGGAGAAAAATGACGTGTTGCAACTGTCCCTTGTTGCAATTGTACCCGGTCTCCCCTACTTCTCCTCATCACAGGAGATCATGTCATCATCATAGAACCAGCACAGTCGCTGCAGAGTTTTTGAGGTTAGAAATAACAAAATGATAGCATTAAGTAACTTTTATTATGTATAATAT